AGCAATGGATTTTGCACTGCCTTTCTGTTTATAGTTAGTTTGATTTCACATAAAATACAGGACACCTGCACTACTGTTTTGAAATGAATAAAAGCCTTACCACCAAATGTGCTGTGAGAGCAAGTACAGAATTCCCATTTACACTCCCATTTGGCCATCCATGTTTTCTGATTTACTGACATTTACTCTCTGCTATCTTACAGCTTCCTCACCTACAAACTCACTACGAATCATCATTCCTTTCTCAGCCCAGACAACACAAGCAAAGGGGATATCTGGGATTACTGTGATAAACTTTGTGGCCCAAACCCCCATCCCAAACTGCCCTAAATTTTTTTTCAGTGTGCTGAAATCAAAGAAGTTACATCAGACTCTACCAATAAAGGGCCTGATCCAGGATGATACATACACATTGATGTTTAAATGTCGTATCTCAGATTGTTTTTTCTCTTGTTTCACGGTGTTACAGAGGCTTAGATAAATGAAGGGATTCATTGAGCACAACTTTTCTCACGCCTTTTGGCTGTAGAGAGCAGTCTCAATCCTCCAGACAGAGGAGGCACAGGGCTGGGGACCTCCCCAGCCTGGAGACATGCTCTGACCACCAACGTGCTGGCTGCACAGCAGACATTGCCAGTCTGGGGACACTGTCATCCGTGGAAGCTGTGGTCTGAAAAATAATGCCTCTTGTTGCCAGCTCTTGTGCAGCACACAACCCACGCCTGAGAAAATTAACTGGAACAAGCCCAAGGGCCACAGAAGCAGACAGATACCTCATTTGTGGATAATAATGGGGTTTGGATGTGAGATAGAGACTCGGTTCTATCGAGGATAAGGCACTTCTGAGCATGTGAGAAGCAGCAAGAATATCAGCAAAAGGGCACTTACTACTTGGACTCACTGCCGGCATTAGAGGGGAGCTAAATAGGAGCCTTGAGAACTGCAATTTTATACTCAGGGTGTCTAAAAGCATTCCAAGTCATTTAGTGCATCTGGGAGCAAATGAATTTGTCAGGCTATCTGGTGATTTGCAGTTGATTTCCTATGCATCACTGCAAAAATTACTACAATTTGACAATACAATAATGTTGTGTTCTCAACTGGCTGAGGAAGTTGTAAATCTTTCCCCAGGTGAACAAAGAATTTTCTATTATCCCATGGGTCTTTTATTTTGACTGTTCTGCTACTAGCTACATATCAACATTTCCTTTCTGTTTTGGAGATCAATTACAATGCAAGTACCTTTATGCAACACTGACAAAAGCCACAAAACAAGATTAATGCTTACATTTGTGCTCCTCCGTGGGCATTAGCAGCCGGGTTAATATCTCTCAACAGCTTGTCATTCCCTGCCTTGAAGGATGAATATGACACAAATCAGAAGCTAAAGGAGGTTTCAGCTTCTCATTTTCAAATGTCATTCAGCATGATGGCAATTATCATTAAAAAGCATCCTGCTCTCCCTCATCCACTCCCAAAGGGAAGTGTCACTTATTGCTTGCAAAGACCCAGTTTTCACTTGTGCCTCCAGGGAGCTGTGGTGTGGTCTGTGCTCAGGAGCAAGGAGAGGCTCTGCAGGTGCCGAGTCACCATGCCCTGCAAAAGTCACTTCTGAACATGCCAGAGTAACACCATGAATGCCCCTCTGCATCAGGCATCAGCAACATCATCT